ATTGCTGGATATTAATTGGGTTTATTTGTTGATGTCTCAATACTTGTCTTACTTTCCTATGCATCTAATCAAGAGTTACTTCTCTCATATATGTCTAGGTATATTTGGGTGCCACAAAGAAGCAACAAGATTGAAGGTAAATATGCAAAATTTTCTCAATTTTTTATTTATTTTTATGTGTTCATTTTTATATTTTCAATCTGATTGGATTTTATTGCATGTTGGATTTGGTGTGTTGGGTTTGTTTAGAGAAAATTTCCAAAAGCTTCTACAGGGACCTATATGGACCTTATTGGAAGATGTATCTATTTGCAGAATATTGTTTTTTTTTTTTTTTCAATGGCCTTATGTTTTCATTGTTGGAATATATGAAGAAGCATGGAGCATTTTCAAGAGTGCCATACTGAAACTCAGAGTCCTTGCAAAGATATTGACATTTTTTGTGGATATTTATTATTATTATTATTATTTATTTTTTTTAGAAGTGGGAACCAAATGGGATTGACATGTATACAATTGTTCAAGATAAATGAGGCTCTTGAGTTGTAATATTTTTGGTTTGGAATATTTTAGTTAAATGACAATTGGTTGCTTTTTATTGTATTTTGTTAGTTTCATGAGTTGTATTATCATTGGCTAAATGAAATTATATTTTTTTATCTTACAAAAAATGATTAGTGATGTTGTAAATAATATATATATATATTTTTAAATTTATTTTTAGTGGCATTTCTTAGTGTGGTAGCAATTTTGAAAAGTGGTCACTAGAATAAACTCTAATGTCACTTATCTCCCTTAATGGCACAAATGAATAGCGAAACACTGACAGTTTGAGGCACCACTAAAAGCTGGGTCAAGTGGCATTTATAAGAGTTGTTAAAAATAGGGGGACTTACATGTAGTTTTTAATAAGTAAACTTATTGTTCAATAAGTCCTATGAAAATTAATGACATTTTTCATTAAATATTATTAAAAAAAGTCATTAATTGTTAATTTTCAACGATAATTTAAAATTTGGGGGATGCACCAATAAGTTCCAAATTAATAACTTATACACTGTTTAGTCCTAAAAGTTTTCTTATAGACTGAAAGGTTCCATTACAATGTTTCAAACATCAGATTAATGTTTCGAACATTAGATTTCGAACATCAGATTAATGTTTCGAACATTATATTTCGAACATCAGATTAATGTTTCAAACATTAGATTGATGTGCAAATGGGACTAAATGGAGCATAAGAAAACTTTTAAGACTAAATGGTTCAACTTTTCAGAAACTAGGACTTATGGGTAAATTTTCCTTAAAATTTTTGTTACAAAAATGTCACTAATTATAAGTTTTAGCGACGGTTTAAAAAAATCGTCACAAAAAAATGTCTTTAACTTTTAACATTCAGCGACATTTTAAAAAATTCGTCACAGAAAAATGTCGTTAATTGTAAATTTTGGCGATAATTTATAAAAATTGTGACAAAAAAAGTTACTAATTGTTAATTTTAGCGACATGTTAAAAATAGTCACAAAAAATTATTTTTAGCAATGATTTTACTAAAATTTATTTTCAATAGGACTTGATGAGAATTAAATTTAACTATTATGATCTATATCAATTGTGGCATAAGAAGTGCAATTAAAAAAGCGTATAGTGGCATTTTTATATTATAAGTCTTGTTTAATGACGCTTGGTAGTGTCATGAATAACATCTAGCATGACATCAAAGTGTCAGTAAAAGCCTTTAGCTTAATGGTGTAGTGGCACTTACAAGTGTCACTGAAGTGCCACTAATATCTACTGTGACATGGGTATAAATGACATTTATTCAAAATATCACAAGACTAAAAAATGTCACTCGAAGAATGGTTTTGTAGCATTTTTGAGTGTCACTAAAATGAGAAAATGTTATAGTGAATGAGTAATAAGTCCCAAAAGTAGGACCTATTAATAATGTTATGTTAATTTTTTGACACAAAATCGAAATGAACGACAAAATACAAGCGGACCTATTTTGACTCCTAATTGCTAACGATTGATTAAACATGTCAAATTAATGTTATGTGAATTTTGACACAAAATCAAAATGAACGACGGAATACAAGTATATCTATTCCCACCCCTAATTGGTAACGATTAATTAAACATGCCAAATTAATGTGCTGTGAATTTTGACACAAAATCGAAATGAACACACGAATATAAGCGGATCTATTTTCACCCCTAATTGGTATCGTTTGAAAGTTTTGAAATAAGTAAACCTTAGCTCTATAATGATTACATGATTCCATAGTAGTTTGAGCCTCGTAAGATTCTTTTTTTTTGATCAGCAAAGAAAAGAAACTTTATTGATGAAAAGAGCAAAAACAAGCAACAAAATACAACCATAAAGGAGGAAAATGCAAAAAGCATCATAGCTAACACTCCACAATCCCAACTAGGTTGGCATCAAGGAGGAAGCACAATCATCTGCTAGCACTAAACCCACAGATTGGCGAGAAACCAATCCATAACAAAGAAACAAAAACAAAAGAAATAAAAAATCACCCAAACACACAGCCTTCCAAATCTGCCAATTTGTAACCCAAAGTTGCATCAATTTGTAGCCCAAAACTGTTGCACTCTCCTAGCAACACTAAAGAAATAAACACCCAAGATAGCCAGCAGCAGACAGACACCAGCAACAAACCAAAACCAAGACTTCTATACAACTTTTGTAGCCCAAAACTGTTGCACTCTTCTAGCAACACTAAGAAATTAACACGCAAGGTAGCCAGAACAGAACCATAGGACAGCAAAACAGACCAGCAGCACTCCTTCTTTCAAAGGCCAAGACAAACAAATCCAAGGCAGCAACTGTTAGAACAAACTGCTCCAGAAGTAGTACAAAAATACTCCTATTCACCATCAGTTCCGCACAACAACACTACAGCAGTTCAATTCCATACTACAACAGTTCAGCACAAAATTACTCATTTTCAGCTTGCTACACTACAGCAGATCAGGTCCAACATGCTCAGATAGATCAACATCAGCCAACTGAAACAACAGAGCACATTCCATCCAATGAGCATCAGTGCAGCACAACCTATTAGTTCAACCTACTATTGCATAACCCAACTTCACCACTACTACACCTTCGAGCTGAATAGCAGCAAGTATGCTTAACCACCAACTCCCAAATCCTCACAAAACAAAATTCACCATCATCACAAACACAAAATATCAGTTCAACAATTAGCATATTAGTACAAGACCATTATTGACAGCAACAACTCCAAATTTAACTCCCCTGAGCACCATTTCATCACCCTGAGCCCCATTTAGCAGACCTGAGCACCACCAAATGCCATACTAGTAGCTGAAAACATTAACAGTGAAGGGAGTTACAACCCAATTCAGCAACACCACCCCAGAAAATAAACTTTCACTTCAAATCTGAGCAGGAGCATCCCAACAGCCCACCTTAACACAATAATAGCAAAGCCTCCTCTGAACTTAAGACATATGTCTCACCCATTTTATATTTGACACTATCTCTTGGATGGAGAAGCAACACCCCGAATCATAAATTTTGAACCACATGGCCACTCTAATTTTAATAAGCTCAGACAAAGCATCAGCATCAGGATTAACATTATTAAAAACACAGTCATTCCTATATTTCCACAAAGACCAAACGACCGAAATAAAAACAACCCACCAAACCTCCTTTACCTTTTTCTTGAGCCTCCATCCCAACCACCAGTTCATCAAGCCTTCGAAAGAACCTGGAGACACCCATTGGATTTCCCACCATGCCATGATGTTAGACCACACACGCCACACAAAGTTACAAGACAAAAGAAGATGATTACAAGTCTCCTCCTCAACTTTACACAGCACGCAATATAGACTCCTCGAACCTCTCAAAACTCCCACTCTACTTAGAAAATCAGATGTTTTCAACCTACCCCGCCAAGCAAGCCAAGAAATGAATTTGGCCTTAGGAGGAGCAAAATTATTCCAGACCAGCTCATAATTACCTAAGGCAGGCCCAACTCTGTTTTGGCACCAATTATACACAGAGCCAACTTTAAAGGTTCTTGACTGCTCAGCCTTCCACCGAATTGAATCCCTTTGATTAACATCAAGGCTAGGACCTACACCCAGCAGACTTTGCAACCTAATCATCTCTTCTTCTTCCCATCCGAAAAGTTTGTAGCCCAAAACTGTTGCACTCTCCTAGCAACACTAAAGAAATAAACACCCAAGATAGCCAGCAGCAGACAGACACCAGCAACAAACCAAAACCAAGACTTCTATACAACTTTTGTAGCCCAAAACTGTTGCACTCTTCTAGCAACACTAAGAAATTAACACGCAAGGTAGCCTCGTAAGATTCTTACATATATATATATGAAATATTCCATGAAATCTAGTTGGAATGTTCTATAGAGCGATAGAGTTTCTATTGTAATCTTTATTTTCTTAATGCACCTTTATTTTTGAGTTAATAAAATATTCTTTGCCGATCAAAAAAAGATTTTTTTTTTTTTTTCCTTTGAATTAATATATATATGGTCTCAGTCATGGTGTACTGTTACCTTAGGTTAGGATGAACAACTGTGCATCACATAATTAACACGCAAGGTAGCCTCGTAAGATTCTTACATATATATATATGAAATATTCCATGAAATCTAGTTGGAATGTTCTATAGAGCGATAGAGTTTCTATTGTAATTTTTATTTTCTTAATGCACCTTTATTTTTGAGTTAATAAAATATTCTTTGCCGATCAAAAAAAGATTTTTTTTTTTTCCTCCTTTGAATTAATATATATATGGTCTCAGTCATGGTGTACTGTTACCTTAGGTTAGGATGAACAACTGTGCATCACATCTACAAATCAAAACAAGGTGGTCCATCCCATAGAAATGTAAAAACTTTTGTTGACATGAATGATGAAATTGCCATATAAGACAAATTAACTTAAATGATTTTAATTTGGGCCAGAAAGCTCACCCTTTCCTTCATGAAGTTGGTTTGCTCTGAAATGATGCGCCTCTGTACGATTGAGTTGAATACATTACATAAAATAATCAAACAACTAATGAATAAAAAAAAGAAAAAAATTTGAAAAAATAAAGAGAAAATTATGTATTGTTAAAGAATGGAAGTGAGATCATTGGCAGAGAGCAAATGTGGATAACGAGTGGAGTTGCATGTCGTTCAGTGAGTTCAATTGATTGTTGTGGAAATTTCAAATATATATAGTTACATATGTACGAGTGATATCCCGTGCGATGTATGGGCATATATGATTTAAAATGAATAACTTAAAAATAGAATTATAGAATATATGATATGTTATGGTTTTATGTTTAATATCATCTGTACTAATTGGCTTTTATTATTATTTATTTTCGATGAGATTTTGCTAACCAAAAACATAAAAAGTAATTCAATTAAATAAACAAATAAATCAAAAACAACTGCAATGAAAAATCAATAAGTATCATAAAATTGAGAACTATGTTTTGCTATAACAAAAACAATATTTTACAGCCAACCCACAAACAAAACAAAATAAAAGACTCCATTATTTAAGTTTCTTATTAATTTTTTTTTTTTTTTTTTTTTGATATCAAATGTAAAAGAGCAAAATTAAGTATTAAATAAAAACATATAAATAATGTGAACTCATCACAAAAACATCATTGAAAGATAAAATTTTAAGCAAACAAATATAGTTGGATACTCAATGGCCAAGTTAAATTACTCTGAAATTCTTAAATAAGAAAGAGTTTTTTAGTTTGGTGGGAAATTCATTATGACAATGATACACACAAATAGTTTTCTTACACTTTTTTGTTGTTGTTGTTGTTGTTGTAATTTTGGTATATAATATTCAACATTGATGCAATAAAAAGAAATTCAAAAACTTTCTAGCCTTTGGTAAATTTAAAATTTAGACAAAAAATGCAAATGTGTGGAGCATTTCGGCCATACCTAAAACAATATAAACTTATATATATAGAGAGAGAGAGAGAAAGAGAGAGAGAATGCAAATCTGTGAAACTTTTTAGCTATACCTATAACAATATAAAATTATATATAAAAAGAAAGTGAAAGGGAGAAAGTGAAAAAGTTACATAACAATTTTATATGTGTTTATAATCAACTAAAATATAACTGTTTATATAGGAGGAGAGAGATATGAAATTGAATAAATAAATATAGATTATCTTTATTATATACTCAAATTCATTTAAATTATCTTTATTTTGAATTTTGTTGATAGATATAGATTATCTTTATATAGATTTTCAATTCAAATATTTTTGAATTTTGTGATAGCTCTCTCTCTCTCTCTCTCTCTCTCTCTCTCCTTGTTGATAAGTTTGTATTCAGAAAACTATTATTTTAAGAGTATATATTATTAAATTATTAAAAAAATAATTTTTATTTTAAATGGAAGTGCTAGGAGAGGAGTGAGTTTGAAACTTAAGTGCCACATAATTTTTTAAAATTTTAATAGATTTTATAAGAAATAAAGAATAGAAATTTGGAGGCCTAAGAGCACACCTACTACATTTGCTTATATATATAGTATAGATATAGATCTTCAAGCAAAAAAAAAAAGAGAGATTGAAAGTGATGTGGTGTAAAAGAATGGAGAAATAATATTGTTGAAAAATAAAAATGTAATGAGTAAGAAAATAATTAAATATTAACTAACTTTTAACAACCTTAGAAAAATAAAAAATAAAAATGGTGTGATATTCTCTTGCATGATATAACCTCTTTAGGGATAAACAAGTTGCATATGACATTTAAAAAAAATATTGGAACTGTGTAAGGTAGGTAGGGTTTTTTAACAGAGAGATGGTTGGGGGAAAGAAGAGAAAGAGTAGGAAGATATGTTTTAATTTTTAAAAAATTGGTGAGAGAGATTATGATAGGGGAGATTATAGAATATTTTGTTATCTTTCCATTTCAAATTGATAAATTAAGGAATAATTATTATTTCTAAATTAATTAATTGTATTAGTCAATAATTTTGTAAATTGAAAATTTGACAATTTTAAAATGAGATTTTGGAGCTTCTAAAAGATTTCTTACTAAAAGCCATTTTCCTTATATAATATATAGATATAAATATGCAAAACTTTTTTTTGAAAAAAGTTCTCTTCAAAAGGTATATACTATATGCACTTATTTTTGTAATGTATATTATGTATTTTTATATAACAACAATGATTCATCCCCCCTTTTCCCCCACCCCCTTTGACCTCCTCTCTCTCATTGGTTACATTTTCTTTTTCTTTTTTTTCCTGCTCCTCCAATCACCACCCGCCACGTGGCAAAAGGGGGTGAGGGGGTGACCCCAAAAGGGGGTCCCAAGCATTATTCTTTATATAAATATTACGTAAATTTTTAGTAGAGTTACAATAATTTGTAATTCAATAATAATGTTATGCATTTGTGGTAATATTACCTATGTTTGTAGTAATATTGTACATTTTTTAATCCAAACATTTTCTAATAAAAAAAAAATATGTAATATCATAATAAAAAGTTATTAGTCAATCGATCGAATCGGGCTAAATTGTGTTGTAATCTAATCAAATTGAGTTAAATTATGAGATGTGATCATATTACATTAAATCATAACTTTGATCATATTGAGTGAGAGGGAGATTTATGATCTGGAATTGGGCCGAGGCCACGGCCGAGCAGGTTGAGAGCCTAATGGTGCATGGGGCCGACATGACCTGCGATCCGCCCGGAGATGGGCTGCCAGGATTTGGGCCGGGCAGGAGTTGGGCCAAGTATGTGCCGCCCCAGAACGTAAAGAAGCTGCTCGGCAAGGCAGTGCTCGGTTAGAATGAGCTACTTGATCAGGCAATGGTGGAGCCAGTCAAGCTGAGTGACCGGCGCCCGGAAAGGCGTGGTCAGCCGAGGTAATCGTTTGATCGGCAGGAAGGCCGACCACAGGAGGTGCCCCGGGCTAGGCTTTGCCGAGATGCCGCCTAGCCCGGTCCTCCTTGGGCTTAGCCAGTGAAGTGCTTGGGTATGAAGCATAGCACGGCCGTGGATGGAGAAGCTCGGCTGCCGAGCTCCAGCTGAGAAGGCAGGCAGTTGAGATTAGGTGATGTTCAGCAAGGTTTATGCTGACAGATGGGATAGCGGAGCCACGTGTCAGGAGATGACTGGGAGTGGATATGGGGCGCAGAGGGTATATAAGCATGTCTGCGCCCCCCATACGCGGACACGAACATTCTGTAAGGAATTCTTATACTCAAACACTCCTCTCTCTCTCTCTCTCTCTCTATCCTAAGGTGTGTGCTAACTTGACCGTCGGAGGGTTTTTCCGGCCACACACCGCCGGGTAGCTCACCGTTATTTGCTCGCATGTGATCGGACAGAAACGGAGCTCGGAAGAAAGGAATACGGGCTTGCCTGAATATTTGCTCCCCGTATAATTGGCGCCGTCTGTGGGAACTTGACAGACAATACCTTGTCTTCCAGGTTCATCTGATCGCCGCCCATGGCGAACAACGACGAGTTTCCGTTGTCCGCCATAGACGGAGCCACCCCGGAGTTCAGCCGAAGGAGAGAAGGCCCTCCCGCCATCCATCCAATGGCGGAGTTGGGGACGCCCACCGGAGGACAGTCAGGAGACGCGCGAGATAAGCGCGGGAGAAGTCATGGTCATTCACGGAGTCCAGACGGTCACCGGCGGAGGAGAGACTCACACGCCAGACGTCTGGAAAATAAGTTGAGGGACCAAGACGCTGTCATCCGACGAATGGCGGCGGAGATGGAGGATCTGAAGCGGCACGTCAAAGGGAAAGGTGTAGCTGGAGTGGGTGACCACAGTGAGCGCACCCCATCCCGCCGTTCAGGCGGTCAGAGTCAGCGACGCACTCTGTCCATATCTATTACCAGAAGTTACCAGGTTGGGGATTCCGACGCACATGCAGAAAAGTCTAGCGCGCAAGACAGCACCTACAAACCCTCACGTCCGGTGACGACGTCGAGGTACTCTTACTCCGCTCATTCAGAGGATTTACGGGCGGTCTTAAAGGAGCGGGCTCGCCGATGCGAAGCTCAGAGAATACCGGCTTTCCAGCGGCTATCCTACGGGGTTCACGCCAGCGAGGAGGTCGGAATCCCTCCAGCTCGCCAAGCAGTGCCACTCTTTGAAGATACGGACTTGGCCAGGCTGAGTGCCACCCCTTTTTCCTTGGAAATAGAAACAACACCGCTTCCGGCAGGCTTCCACCAGCCTAAGTTCACACTCTACGACGGAAAAACCGATCCTTACATGCATGTGAGCCACTTCCGACAGGTTACGGCCGGACATAGGCGAAATGACGGACTTATGTGCCTGATCTTCCCGTCAAGTTTAGGCGAGCTGGGCTTGAAGTGGTTCGAAAGGTTGCCGGAAGGGAGCATACAACGGTGGAATCAGTTGGCCGAAGCTTTTGTGACGCGCTTCAAAACCAACACAAAAACACCAAAAGAAGTCGATCATTTATTTAGTGTCAAGATGGAACCGAGCGACACACTGAAGGCATACAATTCAAGGTATTGGGAAACCTTCAACGAGATCTTGGACTGCCCGGTCAACCTTGCAATCACGCAATATAAGCGTGGTCTCCCGGTCGGACATAGACTGCGGGACTCGTTTACTATGCACCAGCCGACCTCCATGGGCCAGCTCATGCAGCGCATCAATGAGCACATCCGAGTCGAGGATGACGCGTCAGCATCTACCGTAAAGGCAACTCCGGTAGCAACAGACAAGAAGACGATAGGCAAAGTGCACGTAGTTGGGCGAGAGTCCAACTGCTCAAGTGACAGAGCAGAGGAATCAGACCGTGGCTTGAATCGTAAGAACCGGGGTAGAGGACGTCGGAACGACCAGGATGACTACGCCCGAGATGATGTTGCGGATGCCAACAGAAGATTGAAGGCAAGGACTGGCATCACCACGGTCTTCAAGATTACAATTTATCGCATACTTAATGAAATCCGAGACAAGGAGTATGTCCGGT